TCACCTTCCCACGCTTCTCACTGTACCCAGTGCTTGTATAAATAAATAAATCAATCTTTAAAAAAAATTTTTAAAAAAAGTATTAAAAAAAAGAAAAAAGATTTATCAGACATTAAATGTTAGCTGTCTGTCCAGCATTTCCCAACTTCCTGAGGGTTTGGATAAGCATTTCCTGAAATGGATTCTCACTTGTCAACTATTAGGAAAATGCAAGGAATAGGCCTGTGTATGTGTAATCTATGGTATTGTAGTAGGGTTTTAGAGATTAGATAGACAGAGATAAAGACAAAGACACAGAGAAAGATTCACACACACACACACACACATGCCCTAATATTTATATTTATTAAGAGTTTATTACAAGGACTTGGCTTCTACAATTTAGGAGGCCAACAAATCCAAGCTCTGCAGAGTGAGTGGGTAAGCTGGAGACTCATGAGCATTGACAGTGTGGTTCTAGTCTGAGTTCAAAGGCCTGAGAATGAGGAGAGTCAATGTTTGAGTTCCATTTTGCAGACTTGAGTGTCAGTAGATTCACCTGTTTTTTTTTTTGAAGATTTATTTATTTATGCATACAAGAACTGGGGTAGAGGCTAGAGGTGCCAAGGGTAAGAGGATTCACCAGAGACAGAGTGGGGAGCAGAACAGGCAAACTGAATGAAATACACTGCAGAGGGGAGCAGTGGGCGAGACGAGAGGTCTGCTGTGCAATGTGGGTAGCTCCCTGGCCTGCCAGTGATCGAACTCATGCTGCAGTAGCTATGGATAGCTTCATAGTGCTGTGCTTAACCCCTTGTGCCACCAGGGAGACCCCAACTCTGATGTATTTTTAAAAATGAATCCAAAAATACTAATTTATAATAGTAGTGTTTAATAGCATTAATATGTACAGACAGTGCCAGGAAAACCAATGCTCTAAGCAAAAATAACAAGGAACAGAAGGCGTGATGATAAGAAAGAGAGGAAAAAGCTGAAAATACAGGCTCCTAATTTGCCTTCATATTCCATCACAGAGAATTCTCCTCAAATTAGAGAAGGTGGGACATACGTGGGAAAGAGGGAATTTAAGTTCAAGGCAGGTAAGGAAGTAAGCCATCATCAGATTCTTAACACAGTTTTAACTTTCTGTATAACTGATAGAATTGGTGGCTCCTCCCTAGTCTGTGGCACCCCAGGTGGAGGCCAGCCCCACTGCCTTTCCTTCCTCGGTTGGGTCCCATTATCCTTCTTCCTTATAAGAGTCAGGGCTGAGCTTTGGTTTTAGGAAGCCCTAAAACTGCTATAAGCCGGGCCTCCCTGGTGGTGCAGCGGTTGAGCGCTGGGCTGCGAAGCTGCTTGCAGCCTCTGCCGCGCCAGTTCGATCCCCGGCCTCAGGACCCTCCGCAGACCTCTCCTGCTGCCCGCTGCTCCCCTCAGCAGTGTACTTCGTCAGTCTACCTGTTCTGCTCCTGGCTCTGGTGAATTCTCTCACCCTCCCGTGCTTCTGACTGTACCCAGTGCATGTATAAATAAATAAATAAATAAATCTTTAAAAAAACAACAACAAAAAACTGCTACAAGCCACAGGTAGGGGCCACCTGGGCAGGGTACACAGAGGACAGAGTGAGGGCGAATGGAAAGAAGGAGGAAATACGAGACTTTGAGGTATTACAGAATGAGACTCTTACTCTCATTTGCATTCATTCTCAATTCCTGAGAATGCAAAATATAGTTGCTTTTTAAAAACTTGGATATTTTCTAATACTAAATTTGTTTTCACTTTAAATAGCTTTCATTAATAAACAGAGTATGTAACTGTTTTTGAATTGGTTCTCTTCTTTAAATGCGCTAGAAGACAAAGTTCAGAGAGCACTATTCCAGGCAGGAGCAAAAGGGGGTAACTCTAACAGAGTTAAAATGAAAATATACAGTATTACAATGAAAAATAAATATCCATTTCCCTAGATTTAGTTGTGCTGAAAATAGATGGCATTGCTTACATTTTGGAAACCTGTCAACAAATAGTCACAGAATTAAGCACTAATTTGGGGTAGGGAGAGCCTCTTGAGTCAAAAAGTCTCAGAAAGTTGATAGAAATATCTTGTTTCGAAGATGTACGAAAATGACAACTAATAAAAGCATTTACATAAAATCAGCATTTAGCAATTTTACACATTACTGCAAAATAAAAGTTTAGGTTTTTAAGCAAAAGTTGAATATTTTAAGTATAACCAATGAGATCAAATTGCTATATATACAGGAAGAGCTTAGAAAACTAAGGTATTGTAACAAGGTGATCACCAGGAAAGGGGGAGGTTCCAGGTTTCCTGCCCCACCCAAAAGGAGGGTGGAGCTGAGCAGGGAGAGAAAAAGCTGCAGAGGAGACTAAGGAAGGAAGGAAGCAGGATGGAGAGCCAGAAGGAGACCTGGAAGAGACACATGGAGCCAAGAGACACTGTGAAGAAACTGCGCTTGCCTTTTGGTCCTGGACTGGGTGACACAGATGTGGGTGAGAGACCCGTGGGGAGGTGACAATGGCGGTTTCTGTCTTGATTTTGATTTTGCTCTTTTCCTTCCAGACTTGTCTGGTTGTTTCTGATCCTTTTCTGTGGGTCCCAACTGGGAGATGCTTTAGACTTGTGACAGGCTATCAGGCCTTGTTCTGGGCCAATCCTGTTTTTTGGGTGGACTTTTACCCACAAGAAGATGGGTACTTTATTTATTTATTTATTTGTTTGTTTGTTTGTTTGTTTTTGTCGGACCCTCGCTGGTGGCCGGGGATAGAACTGGCACTACAGAGGCTGTGGGCAGTCTTGCAACTCAGCGCTCAACCACTGCGCCACCAGGGGAGGCCCGGGTGCTTGATTTAAAAACTATATTCTTACATTAATTCCAAAGGGCACCTGCACTCCCCTATGTTTATAGCAGCACTATTTACAATAGCTAAGCTATGGAAACAACCCAAATGCCCAAAATAGATGACTGGATCAAGAAGATGTGGTACATATATTACTCAGCAATCAAAAAAGATAAACACATGCAGTTTGCAGCAACATGGACGGAGCTAGAAGGGATCACGCTCAGCGAAGTATGTCAGAAAGAACAAGAAAAATACTGGATGGTCTTACTCATAGCAGGAATTTAGAAAACCTAAATAAGGGACCAGGAAAAAGACTAATTAATACAAAGTAAAAATCAAAATCAACAAGCAACTATAAACCAGAAACACACTGGGGTGGAGGGGGGGCGGAAAGAGGAAGGATTAGGGTCAAAATAAGGGGGGGTGCAATTGTATTGGGAAATATAATCAAAATGAAAATGTATACACTGTGCAAAAATGAAAAATGATGTAAAATTATATAATAAAATATTAAAAAACTATATTCTTTGCCTTTCCTGTATTATTTACTAATTGTATTATTTACTAATTGTATTAAATTTCCTTTTCATTAAAATCTCATATGTTTTATGTTGATGTGGTGGATGGCAGAACCTATTTAGAGGAGGCAGGTTTACAGGGTCTGGGGTGCCCCTCTCCCTGCCCTGTAACAGTATCAGCTAACCAAGAGTTAGTGAGCTAGAATATACAAGACTACCAATGCGCTATTTTAAAAGTATATTAAGAATCCTGGATTGGTGGCGCACAGACCTCTCCTGCCACACCCGCTGCGCCCCTCAGCAATGTATTTCATCAGTCTGCCTGTTCTGGCTCCGGTGAATTCTCTCACCCTCCCTCGCTTCTGACCGTACCCAGTGCTTGTAAAAATAAATAAATAAATCTTTAAAAAAAAAAAAAAAGAATCTTGAATTGGGGCCTCCCAGGTGGCGTAGGGGTTAAAGATACAGCATTATCAGAGTTCGATCCCCTGCAGGCCAGATAGCTAACCCACATGGTGCAGCAGACCTCTCCAGTCTTGTCTGCTGCTCCCCTCAGCAGTGTATTTCAGTAGATCTGTGTGTTCTGCCTGCCACTTCACGGTAATAATTTATTGTTTCAAATAGTTTTTTAGTGGAGTCTTTAGGGCTTCCTATGTCATCTGCAAATAGTGATAGTTTTCTGTCTTTTTCAATTTAAGTTCCTTTTATCGCTTTTCCTTGCCTAATTCCTCTGGCTAAGATTTCTGATACTAGGGCCTCCCTGGTGGTGCAACAGGTTAAGACATAGCACTGTGAAGAAATCCACAGCCACTGCAGCACAATTTCGAACCCTGGCCAGGGAGCTACCCACATGGTGCAGCAGACCCCTCCTGTCTCGCCCACTGCTCCCCTCAGCAGTGTATCTCAGTCAGTCTGCCTGTTCTGCTTCCCACTCTGTCTCTGGTGAATACTCTCATCCCCACCCCACCCCCACTCCACCACACCTCTGGCCTACACCCTAGTTTTTTATGCATAAATAAATAAAAATAATTTTTCTGAAAAACTGGATTGTTCACCTTGAGAAGGAACCATTCTGTAGTATGGTATAGTTAATGCTCTGCTAAAAAAGAGATGAAAGTAGGTATGAACCTCCTCTCCAGGAGGATCAGGAAAAGAAAAGCTATTTATTTATTATTCAACAAAATAACTGCAGTGGTCACTCTTAGTTGGCCCTTCAGAGTTTGGTTTTCACTTTAGTGGGGCACTTTGTAACAAGGAGCCCCTGAGTAATCCTGATGCAGAGACTGCAGAGCAGCACAGACAAAGTGGCAATTTTTCTCAATAATAGCAACATTCAGGAGAATCAGGAATTATAGTTGTTCTTTGGAGCATCAGACATGGTTTTGAAAGAAGGTTGTTAAGGAGAAGAGTTTGATGATAGAGGCTAACAACAGCAGAGAGCTCTTGATACCTGCAGGCTTACAGGCATAAGAGAACATGATAAGTGGAGTCCTGAAAGAGCAGTAATAGTATCCTCAGTTGAAGGAGAAAGCTATTAGGCATGGACTGTAGCCTTTGGGAGGAAAATGTAGCAGTTAACCTTTGGTCTCTTCTCCTGACAGATTCCCCACACACACACCCTACCCCCCATTGACCATACTCACCTGGGATCCAGAAGGTAAGGAATCCTTGTTGATGGAGAGACAACATTGTAAATCACATGTCAACATCTACAGGCACAGAGTAGAGAACACTGGAGAGTGAATTTGTAAAAGCAGATGAAGAATATTTGTCAACTTAATGAGACTCCTATAATTTATGAAAACTGTATTCTAAATGAATGCTAAATAATTGACATAATTGAGGGATTGAGTAGGAAGAAGCTAGTTATGAATTTTAGTTAGTGAAAGTGTCCATGTCGGCCAGTTCATGGCCTTTGAGACAACCAAAGGAAGGGGATTTTGGAGTGTCTTCAGGAAGACTGGGATCTTTGCACAGGGGCCCCCAAAGATTCTGGTTCTAAAACAGGAAAGAAATTTACTAACTCAGCAAAAACAATTGGGATGGCCACAGAGGGCAATCTATTGGGAAAATTGTTCTTGTCTTGAATGTGAAGTATGAAAGTAGAAGCCAGGTCCTACTTAGAGCAACATATTCTTTGCATGCATAGAATTATGAGGACCTTTACTAACAAAACTCCCATGTAAAGAAACTCTGTGCCTGACAGGAACATAATTAGTACTTTAAGACAAGAAGCATATTCTGTGCTATTGAAACCAGTTTTTCACTCCATGTTGCATATTCTGACAGCCACAATAGTAGTGATGGTGGTGGTATCTGACTTAGTCTCTACCTCTGGAATAATATAGTGTGTATTACAATCAATACTGTGGTGGGGGCCTCCCTGGTGGCACAAGGGGTAAAGACGCAGCACTATGAAGCTATCCGCAGCCACAGAAGTACGAGTTCGATCCCGGGCCAGGGAGCTACCCACATGGCACAGCAGACCTCTCCTGTCTCCTCTGCTGCTTCCCTCAGGGTGTATTTCAGTCAGTCTGCCTGTTATGCTCCCCACCGTCTCTGGTGAATCTTCTCACCCCCCACACTCTGGCCTGTACCCCAGTTCTTGTATGCATAAATAAATAAATAAATCTTTTTTAAAAAAATCTGTAGTGCCCATTGTCCTGGAGCCAAGTTTAGAAGTTTGACTGTGGAGCTAAATACTGCTTTCCAGTCTTAGTGTTAGAGCTCCTCATCTTAGCTGGGTATAGGAAAAGAGAGAAGTTGCAAGGGATAGAGAGTGAAAGAAACAAAACAAAGCAAAATGATGTCAAGATTATGGCAGGATGTTTCAAAAAGAAAGTTAAATAAGAGGTTTGAGAATAGGCAATGGTGAAGAGAAGAGAGGAAAATGTCAAAAAGCTGACAAAAGAGTCCAGAAGGGGATGAAGCAAAAAGATTGCTCTACCTTTAGAAGACTAGAAAATTTGAAACTAAAAAGTAATAACATTACTATTAGGAGCCACAAAAATTAAGATTTGCACATTTCAAATGTTGGCAAAGCAGTATTATGATTTACCACATGTTTTTTCTACACAAATCAACATATTAAAACACATTATTCTGTTAAGGATAACAGATTAGTTACCAGATTAACTTTCTCCCATCAATATAAAACCAATTTTACCTTTTACCATGTAGTGTTTATGTAAATTGTGCATCCCATCTATGCAGTACTGTATACAAATGTATTCAGGACCCCTTTATACTCTTAAAAAATATTGAGAATTAAAAAAAAAAGCGCAAGAATTCCAAAGATCAAATGTAAGTTAAATAACATTGTGTTAAATTAAAACTGAAAATTTAATGAAACATGTATTAACAAATAATTATAATAAACCATTTATATGCTTGATCAAATAATACAATTTTAGTGAAAAATAACTATTTTTTAAAATAAAATTTTTTATGCCTCACTTAATAGAACACAGCTAAATTTTTATATACACCTTTGCATTCAGTATATTTATATATTGTTTTGGTTGAAGAATATGAAGAGGGCCTCCCCGGTGGTGCAGCGGTTGAGCACTGGGTTGCGAAGTTGCCCGCAGCCTCTGCAGTGCCTGTTCGATCCCCAGCTGCTCCCCGGCCACCAGAGGAGGGTCCCACATGGCGCGCAGACCTCTCCTGCTGCCCGCTGCTCCCCTCAGCAGTGTATTTCGTCGGTCTGCCTGTTCTGTTCCCTGCTCTGGCTCTGGTGAATTCTCTCACCCTCCCGTGCTTCTTTCTGTACCCAGTGCTTGTATAAATAAATAAAAATAAATCTAAAAAAATAAATAAATAAAAAATAAAATAAAATATTGTTAAAAAAAGAATATGAAGAAATTCAACTATATACAGAGGTAGGGCTAGAAAAGGAAGGAATATTTTAATAAATTTTCAGATTATTGAGGATGTTCTTCAGTACTATACTAAAACTGGAAATAGTTTTTTTAAAAAAAAATTTAAATTTCTGTTTATTTATGTATACAAGAGCTGGGTACAGGCCAGAGATGTGGGAGAGTGAAAGGATTCACTAGAGACAGAGTGGGGAGTAGAACAGGCAATTTAACTGAAATACACTGCTGAGGGGAGCAGCGGGAGAGTCAGGAGAGGTCTGCTGCGCCATGTGGGTTGCTCCCCGGCTGGCCGGGAATCGAACGTGTGCTGCAGTGTCTATGTGCTGCAGTGGCTGCGGATAGCTTCATAGGTTGTGTCTTAACACTTATGCCACCAGAGAGGACCCATTTTGTTCATTTTTGATAAAATGTCTACCAAATACCATCATTATTTCAAATTTAAAAAAAAAGGGCTAGTTCAGCTTGCAACTTAACTATTTGCACAATGCCTTCTCACGTACCTTGGTATGCAGCAGAAGTGTTTTACATGTCCTTTCCATGTATCACAGAGAGTATTAAGGAAACAGGTACCTGAAAGTTGAGGTTTAATAACATTATTAATTTCTACTACTTCATCAAAGACATTCTAAAGTTAAACTGTCATTTTAAAATAGTGAATGTGACTGAAAATAGATATATGACCCAACAATTCCATTTTTGGCATCCATTTGAAGAATATGAAACTATCAACTCAAAAAAATTATGTGTTCCACAATGTTTCCTGCCATATTATTTACAATAACTACGATATAGAAAAAATCTAAGGACCCACAAGAGAGGATTGGATTAGGAGGTAGGGCATATCCACACAATGGAATACTATTCAGCTATAAGGAAAGATGAAATGTTACTATTTAAAACAAAATGAAGGCCTCCCTGGTGGCACAGGGGGTTAGTTATCCTCAGCCACTGCAGCACTGCATGAGTTCCATCCCCCACCAGACAGGGAACTGACCTACATGGCCTAGCAGACCTCTCCTGTCTGGCCTGCTGCTCCCCTTAGCAGTGTATTTCAGTCGATTGATCCACTGTTCTGTTCCCCACTCTGTCTCTGGTGAATCCTCTTACCCCCTGCACCTCTGCCCTGTACCCCCGCTCTTATATGTATAAATAAATAAGTATTTTAAAAAATGGAAGGAGATTGAGGGAATCGTGTGCAGCAAGGCAAGTCAGAAAGACAAATACAAATAGTGGATGATTTCACATACATGAGTAAAATTAGGAATCAAAGCACATGAACAGGTAAAGCAAAACGATTATAAACTATCAGACATTGATAAGCAAAGTGAGGTTTCTCAGGCTAAGGAGTAAGATTGGAGAAATGGACACAGGAGTAGGTGGTGAGAGGAAAAAATAAAAAGTCACACTACATCATAACCCAGGTACAAAGTAAATATCCAAGAGCTCATATTGATTTAAACAAATCATGAAAAAAAAAGTTATTTTGTTGTATCTGGTCAAAACATAAATAAAATAGTGAGCGTGTTACATTAATAAAATTATTACTAGTACAGTAATCTTTTGTCCACTATTGCTTTTATATCTTTGCAAATTTCAACACAGTATAAAGGCAAATAGTCTTAAGTTTATTAAGATGATATTTTGGGTATTACAGAGTGAACTCTGAAACATTTCAGGGACCAGTAAGTGCAGATTATACTTCGAGATTAATTCTCCCCATCCCTGCTGGAATGTATGTCCCACAATCTAGGACTTTTGTCTCTTGTTCTTGATCTAGGACCTAGATCATGTCTGACACATAGCAGGCATTCATTAAATATATATTTAATTAATTAATAATTAATCTGAATTAGAACACAATAGTGAAGAATTTATAATCTGCATTACTGGAAATGTATTAAAAATTTTTGTTTTGAACATGTAAAATATACGACAGGCCACAAGGTGAAAAGTGTCCCACTTCATAATCTGTATGGCATGTAAGTTCCTTTCTCGGAGATACCACTATTTTGGTTTCTTATATATTTTTCCAGAGACATTTTATGGATTCACAAGCATTATATATACACAAGAATATTCCTTTTTTACCCTCACACGTATGGTGGTATTATTGCACAATGTGTACAATTCAGTACTTTCTTAAAAGTAAACTTATTCTTTTTGAATAATTGTGAATTTACAGAAAAGCTGTATAAAATCTTTTACACTATTCACTTCTATTCATGTTAATATTTTACATATCTATAGCACTATGCCAAAACTAAGAAATTAACATTGCTACCATACTATTAACTAAATTACAAAACTCTATTCAGATGTCACTAGTTATCCAGTGGCGGAGTCCAGCTCCAGTGAATAGGGTTGAGAGAGGAATCTGAAAGAAGGAGGCATAAAGAACAGACAGACACAAAATAGAGTTTAAGAGAAGCAGGGCCCAGGGGATACAGGGACTCTCATTCTATGCACAAGCTTCCTGAGTACCCGGTGCAACTCATTTTTATTGATACAAACAGTCCCCTTACCCTGTATGTTAGTTATTAGACAATGAATCATTTTCCTAGTATTTAGACGTGATCGGGCACACATTCACCACCAAGGTTCTGCGTGATTCTATTTCCTTTCTAATCTTGCCTGTTTTTCAGGCCAGGCTTAGCTTTGCTGACACAGAAAAGGACATCTTGGTCTGGACACAGGTCAGTCTTCCAGCCTGTGTTGACCAGTTTTCCAGTCATTGACATTCTCCTTGTCTCAACACTTCATGCCTTAGGGGGTCTCCAACAATCCGGGATACTGTATTGCTTTTAGCATCTTTTTTTCCCCCTTAAAATATATTTTGAGGATTGTTTCATATCAGTTAATATGCTGTTGCCTCATATCCGGAAGAACTGTTGACGAGTGGAAGCTCACCGCCAACGATCATGTGCATTAAAGACTTTCCAAACCTCTCTCCCTGGAAAGAACTTCTAAGTAAAACCTGTGAATTTTGTGTTGTAAATTTCTCTGAAGTTCCAAGGTTAGGATTGGGGATTGGATAAAAGTGACAAATGCACTAAAAATTTTTTTGCAAACTTCAAGACAATAACTGTCATCTATTTTAAATGTACTGGCAAACGAACACGTAGCACTGCACGATTTACATTGTAACAATAATTCATCAACCATAACCCAGACATATAGTTGGTTCCTCTTAGGACCACTAGGGGGCTCTGTTAGAAGGGTTTTTATAATTTATGTTAGTCCACTTGGGGAAATATCTGGAGATTATGTGTTAGAATTCTGAACTCGGAAAACTTGGAAGAGATAATCTGATCCAGTTTCCTCATTTTTGTTGCAGGAATAAGGAAACCAAGCTTGGCCAACAGAGCTGGCATGGAAGAGACTTGGAATAAAAAAGTCCCTCTTGGTCCCTGAGGCAGGAGTTCAAGGAAATCTTTTTTTGCTATGTGCCTCCACTGAATGATTCATTTCCAGAGACTATCTCCCTTTTCGTGGCTATAATTTTAGTGATTTTTTTCTAATATCCAGTATTTGTGATTTTTTATAATTGTATACTGATTAGGCAAAAGAAGTGTATGAAGTACAAATTTCTAAATAAACTGTATTACTTATTCTAAGACATTCCATCCAAAGTGCCTCTCAGTATCAAAAACACATTACTGGGCCTCCCTGGTGGCACAAGAGGTTAAGCACCACACTATGAAGCAATCTGCAGCCTCTGCAGCAAGAGTTCGATTCCCCGTGGGCCAGGGAGATACCCATATGGTGCAGCAGAACTCTCCTGACTCACCCGCTGCTCCCCTCAACAGTGTACTTAGGTCAATCTGCCTGTTCTGTTCCCCACTCTGTCTCTGGTGAATCCTCTCAGCCCCCACATCTCTGGCCTGTACCCCAGCTCTTGTATGCATAAATAAATAGATCAATCTTTAAAATGAAAAAAAAAAAAAGCACATTACTTACCGTAAAACCTAAGAACTGCTTTCAAATTGCCTTTCTAACTTACTTTCCACTTGAAACATTTTACTCTTATCTTTACTCATTCATTCATTCATTCATTCAATATTTATTGAGTGCCCACTAGCGCCAGGCACCACTGTAGGTCCTGATCTAACCCCTCCCTCCCTCCTCCCCACCCCCTAACTAGCATCTGCTTCTCCTTCTTTCACTTTAATACATAAACTATTTTCACATGCTCCAATTTATTGTTTTTCATTGTGTGGCCCCAGAACCAGTAGTAAGAGCAGCAGCATCTGGAACCTTCTTTAAAAATGCAAATTATTAGGCCCACGCCTAATGCGGGCCAGCAATCTGGTTTTCAACAAGCTCTCTAGGGATTCTGATGTACACTCCAGTTTAAAAACTACGACTTTAGTTCAGAGGCTCCGTATTAATTATCCAAGTAGGTCAAAGATCAACCTCTGGCCTCGAAACCCACCTCAGTCCTGGCCACGCAGACCCCACCCCTCTCAGGCACACCTGATGGGACCCAACAATGACTCCACTTAATTCAAAGATTTGTCTGCAGCACCTGGAGTGATGGTAACAACAGTGGCTCTACAAAGGCTCCAGAACAAAAGCCAACCGCAGTGGATTTTCCTGGGCCTGTACCAACTGAAAATGGGCCGCACTAAGTTCCGGAACGGGGTTTTCAAACGCTAGACGGAGCCGCCGGTTCAGGGTTCGGGGCCCGAGGGGGGGTTTGGGGGGGCGGCCCACTCCCCGGCGAGCCCGGCCGCCCGACCCCGTCGGGCTGGAGTCGAGCCTTTGGTCCGAGGCCAGGGGTTGGCAGCTCGGAACGTACCACATGGGCTCCAAGAGGGGCGGAGGCGCGGGAGAGGCCACGGCAGCGCCGGCCAGCGCGGAAGCCGCACCCTCCTGGCCCCGGACGCCGACGGGGCGGAGCCACGCGGCCGCAGCTCCGGCGGCGTCGCGCGGCGCGGCGCGGGCCCGGCTGAGGCGTATGGCGCTACAACGGGAGCGGCTGCGCCGCCCGGCCAGGTCAGCGTCCTGCGCATGCGCGGCCCCGGCGCCATTTTGGTGGCCGGGCGCGGAGGTGATTCCACACTGAGGAGAGCGCGGCGGCTGGGGTGGCAGTGGCAGCGTTCGTGTGCTCGGGTGTGAATCGCCGAGGGAGGAGGCGGTGGAGGAGGAGGTGGCGGCGGTGGCGGTGGTCGTAGCGGTGGCGGAGGAGGCGGGTACGAATCAACTGCGGGCGGAGACATGGCCAACATCGCGGTGCAGCGAATCAAGCGGGAGTTCAAGGAGGTGCTGAAGAGCGAGGAGGTCAGGAATGAACTCCGGGCGTCCCCCCACCTCAGCCCGGGGCGGGGGGCCCTTCCCGCGGCGACCCGGGGCCCGCGGCCACCCCCGGGCGGCCTCCGTGCGGCCGCCTGCCTGCCCGTGGGGAAGCCCGGTCTCCCCCTCCTTCCGCCGCCGTCCCCGCCTCGCCGGGCCCGGGGTGGACGGCCCCGCGGGCGGGGGTGCTGGGGAGCAGCGCGGTTTGGGGGGCAGATGGGGAACGGGACCCCGCTGGGCCGGGTGTGGGCTCTCGGGAGAGCCGGGGGCCGTGGCGGCCGCTGGGTGTGTGTGGAGGGCGGGGGAGCAGGCCGGGCCGGAGAAAACCCGGGAAGTGGTGGGGGGAAGGGGAAGGTGGTAACTGGATCCCGGGGGCGCTCGCAGGCCCGCACTTGAGGGGTGTCCGGGCGCCGGTCTGGTCCGGCCTCCCGCGTTCTCGACTCAGGGGAGGAGCGAGGAAATCCTGAGGCACTGATGAAAAGGGGGGGCCATTCAGTTACCCCCCCCTTAGGTGTTGGGAAGGAAGGGGCGACGGAATGGGGGTACTGTCTTATTTTTGGGGGGGGGGAGAGGAAATTTTCACCTGAGAGAAGAAATGATGCCACATCAGACCACTCTCTTATTCCCCACCTACCTCTCATTCCTAGGCCTCCTTTCTCTGACATCTAAAGCCTTTTGATGGGGTACAGGCAAGTTGCTGGGTGTGTTCAAGAACTTAAATTTTTTTAGTGAGGAAGAAAATCATGTGGTGTATGAGTAGCTTGAATATGTTTACAAGTTACAGATCTGGGTCTTTAAAACAATGCCTCTGTGACTCTGGTGTTTGCTGTGAAACTTCATTATGAGGTCCCTCTTAGTTAACTTGATTCCTGTCTTTGGAAACAGTCCTGCTGGAAACATGGGATTTCATCATATTAATACAGTGTTATGTCTCCTTATAATGTAAATGTCTAGCCTAACATGTTTGTCTGAAGTCATTGATTTTGGAGGGGGGTGTTCTCAAGCTACTCTTGAGTCCTGCAGGATTAAATGCACTAGTCTTAGCCACATTTACTTATGTGAAGTATTCTAAATGTTCTTGTCGTTTTACTCAAAACTATGCAAGGATCAGTAGTTTTTCATGCCCAAATCAACAAAACCGATGGGTGATTTTCCTGCTTGAATTTGACAAAGAATAAAAAGTAATACTGAAATGGTTATTTTTCAGTATGTCACATACCCTTCTGAATATATCCTGGCAAAATGCTATGTATTTTTCTCTTATATTGATACTTTGATACCTCAGTGATTTGTGAAAATCCTATTCTGTGATGCTGTGATAAGTAATCGACGAAAGTCTGGTATCTCTTGGACCTAATGGGTGCCACAGTAATTCTGTCTCTCTCAAATTACACGTGGAGAAAATAATTCTTAATTATACGAAATTGATAAATACTAACAGACTTACTGAATATAGTAGTATTAAGTAATGATCCTTTTACAGAGCATGTGTATGAACTCTGACCTCTGTATTTGTTCAAGTGCCAGAACTCTGAATGGAAGGATGACTTTGTATTTTCCTGGTACAGTGCAGAAATAGCGTCATAAATGTCTGTACTCATGTACAGTGAAACAATGATTCTAACTTTTTATTTCACATGAAAAAGTATTCTGAAATAGTTAACATGCATTTCTATTGAAAGGTTGCAGCTAATTTTATTGCCCACAGCCTAAAATATTTTCTCCATAAGTTTGTACAAGCCTGAAACTTCATAGGAGACTTCCAATGTTTTATTTTCTATTACTTAAAAGTGGTAAGTTACTGCTCCCGTAATTCATATGTTGTCTGCTTTAAATGAGGTGACTCCTGACCATGATATTCTTAGCACTTAAGTTGAAGCTTAAAAGAGATCTTGTATTGCTCTAGAAACACGTATTGTTAATAATACTGCTTATGTATGTAAGGGATGATGAAGCCTTATGTGAAGTAGGTGTCAGAGTGGTTCAGACTAAGAAAACAGGAAAGGCAAAATAACAAGTAATTTTTTAAAACAATACATTTATAAATTTGAAAGATGTTGCCTGGAAACTAAGTACAAAGAACATTGAGGGAAGGGTCAAATAATTTAACCTTGGGATATAACCAAGCTTTATTTTTCACTGTTTTTTTTTTTTTACCCCAGCAACATTTTAGTGGGCCTAGTTCTATTAGTAGATTATGTTATTTTCAATTCATTGAAAGACTTGCAGTACAGTACATGTGCTTCCTTTTTAAGTGTGTAAATGCTGTTATTTTGAGTGGCTGGTCGAATAATTGAGTATTTACGTGTTACCTATGTAAATGTCCAGTTTAGCAAAGTGTATTTCCTGTGTTTATGTTTACTAAGGAATACTGGTTGATTTAAGTAGCTTATTTTAGCCTTTGAAGTACCATTGTGAAGATGGCTGACATTTGCTGAATGGTGGCCATAATAAGTTATAAGTGACCATCCTTGAAGTGTTATTAATTAAAATATAACCTTCAAGATAGATGTAAAAATCTAGGTGCAGAATAATGTGGAACAGGTCACCATTTGTGTGTGGATGGAGGGAAATAGTGTTTATGTTTGTATAGGTGAAATGATTAATGAGAAATTGGCAAAATTGATTGCTTCTGCATAGGGAATTGGGTGTCTTGGGCAACAGACATGAAACATCCCTTTTGAATTTTAAGTCATGTGAAAATGTTATTTACTAAAAATAAATAAGTGCACCATCTAGGCCTTTATCGGGCACAGTAATTTTAAAATCTAAAAATGAACTTTAACATCTCCAAGTTTCTAGAATGGGAAATCGATTTAAAGTATTCTACATTGTTGTTATGAGTCAAAATGCATAAATCAGATGTTGTAAGACTAGAATAAAATTATTTTAGCCATAGTTTATATTACTATTTACTGTTCTTACTGCTACTAACTACAGTTAGTAGAGTGGATCGCAGTACCATTTATTTATACAAAATGCTAAATCTCAAGAACAGGTCTTTGAATTAGATTTTCTATTTCTTAGATGAGAGAATTGAGATTTAGAGAAGTTAAATTATTTGTCTTCAAACATAGCTTCAGGATTTGGATCTGAGTCTGCATGTGTTTATATTATACCACCCAGTCATGACTTGTCAAGGTTAGGCATGCTTTTAATTATTTAAAAATGATTGAGCCTGGTTTGTATTACTGGTTAAAGGATTGAAACACAACCTAATTTAATTGTTTAAGCATTAAAATAACTGTTACCTTTAATTAACTTAAAGAATTACTTTTATTTCAATATGCAATATATTTTAAAATTTGAAGCTCAGTGAAATAAAATGCCCTTAGGTAAGTGCACATACTGTTGTTGCTTGCTCTTGTGCTATATGGTACTTGTAGTTTTTCACATTGTAGCTGCACTTTGCTCACGTTTTCTAGGATTCTCATCGGTAATATTTATGATGTTGACAAATTTGTTTCACAAAAACTCCTATTTAAGTTTTTCTTTAACATTTAAATGGATTTTGTGTCATTTTAAATTTTATATATTTGATAAAGTTATTCTATATAGTACTAGCTACAGATATTCAAAAGAAAGTCTTTAGATATCAGTAGACTATGGCTTCTCAACCCTGGTACTATTTCCATTGGGAAGAGAAGTCTGTGGGTGGTTCGCCTGTGCGATATAGGGTATTCAGCAGCATCCTGCCATTAGTGCAGCGATCGCACCCCCCCCCCATTCTTTCTCCTTGCCAGTTGTAGCAACTAAAAATTTCTCCACACTTTGCCAGAAGTTGACAACCACTGCTCTTTGACAAAACTATTTATTGGCAAAACTCTTTAGAGGAACATGTCAGACTATTAACTCTGTAAGATGTGTAGTATAGTAAAAGATAAACTATCATGGCTACTTCATAACCTGGCTATAACTAGCTATTTCTAGTGTTCTGTTTTTATTTCTAAGACTTTAGTTATAAATTGGTGATTTATAACTAAATTATTAATGACTACCTTTGTTAAAATATGCTCCTTTTTGATTTTAAAAAAGGTGAAAATCTTTGCTATAAACTAACCAGAATTTGAACAATTTAGAAAAGTGGTTTGTCTTTACAGTAAATAAGTTATAGTTCTGTGTACTTTATTTAAACATGTTCTTAATTAATGGGCTTCTGGATATGGGTTAAACAAGGAAAATGTATAGATGGAGTAAGAGAAATCAAAGCCTATCCAAATAATACTCCTTGGGTTGCATTTCTTGTTTTATTTTAATTTATTTATTTTTAAAATTATTATTTATTTTTAAAGATTTATTTATTTATTTATACAAGCACTGGGTACAGTCAGAAGCGCAGGAGGGTGAGAGAATTCACCAGAGCGGGGAACAGAACGGACAGACTGGCGAAATACACTGCTGAGGGGAGCAGCGAGGCGCGGCAGAAGAGGTCTGTCGTGCCATGTGGGACCCGAACCAGCGCTGCAGAGGCTGCGGGCAGCTTCACAGCCCTGCGCTCAACTAATGCGCCACCAGGGGAGGCCCTAATTTGTTTTTTTAATAAAGATTTATTTATACAAGAATTGGGGTACAGGCCAGATGCGCAGAAGGGTGAGAGGATTCACCAGAGACAGAGCGGGGAACAGAACAGGCAGACTGATGAAATACACTGCTGAGGGGAGCAGTGGGCGAGGCAGGAGAGGCCTGCTGTGCTATGTGGGTTGCTCCCTGGCCAGCCAGGATCTGAACTCGTGCTGCAGAGGCTGTGGATTGCTTCATAGTGCGGTGCTTAACCCTGTGTGCCACCCTGGAGGCCCTTCTTGTTTTATTTTACTCTTGCAGAGACGTTGATCTTTTTCCTTCAGGTATAGATTTAGATACATCTGAAATTTCAGAGCATATCACCCTTTGTAAAGAACCTTATTTCCCACTATTATATGTTATCACAGTTACTGAGCTTATTGGCCACAGTCCCAAAAAACTTAACCTGGTTGAAGATTGATAGATTA